CTAACTTTAGCAAAAACATTGAAATAATAATGAATTTAATCTAGTTATCATGATTTATATCTGAATCAATGATCATCCCAAGGTTTCTACCCATATAAGAGGTCTGCAGGAAAACAGACATAAGATGGGCACTGATATTTTAATCTATGCTCTTTTGGTCTAAGAAGACACACTTTTGTTTTATCTTTATTCAACTGAAGAAAATTTTTTTTATCTAGTGACGAGGTTAGAGAAATAACAACTTAATCAGAGGAGAAACCAATAGAAAATATAGAACAAACAAAGGTTTTGGAGATAAACAATCCAAGATAAACACCCGGAATTTATTAAAGAATCCAACAAACCAAAATAACAAGTTAGGACTGAACCAACTAAACATTCTGAGAAATAAGCAAGAGGAAATTATCCAGAAAACAGCTGTCATTGATGAAACAATCCAAGCTAACATACAGTAGGAAACTAATGATAAAAATACCTAAATATGGCAAGACCCTAAAGTCAAAACTAAAAACAAACAATGGAGTTAACTGATATAGCATAAATGAACACAAAAATAATTAAAATAATATGTTAAACAATAAAATAGGGGAAAACAGGAACTCCAAGGAAACCTAAACTGGTCTTTAAGATCATGAGTAGTCTTCATGGTCTGTTAAACGAATTTAGAGGAAAGTGTTTCATTTCATAGTTATTTATTTCAATCAAATCTATAGAATAAAATAAAAAAACTGAAAATAAATAATCACAGTAGTTTTACAATCCAGAGGAAAGTGACCCATTAATTATTAGAAAACCGATAACAAGACTTATTGTCAGTTTTCAAAATTTTATTTGAGATGAAGCTCCTTCTTGCATTTCCCAATTCATGATTAAATATTCCAAGTTTGAGTTTATAGATTTTAAATTAAGCTCGTAAATTACTTTTGTGCCATCAGCATTCACCTTTTCAATTTATTTGTTTTTTCTAAAGGACTCAAATTTTCCCCAAGGTGGTTTATGTTTTCTGGAAATGAGTTATATTGCATTGACATTAATGGTGTCAACAGCATTTTCAACTTTAAACATAAGAAAAATATGCATAGAGTCTAGCCTAAAAGTACCCATACAGCACAGGTAGCCTAAGTTCTCTGGATCTATGGAGTCCATATTAGACTCAGGGTAGTTTAACAGTCCTTACTTAGATAATGCTTAAGTAAGTAATCATTTAACAACATGATGAAACCAACATTAAACAAGTAGGAGACCTACCTACCGCTAATGAAGCACCTGCTGCAGAAACAGATGTTATCAGTTTTCGCTCATCCAAATCACAGGTGGATTTAAAGTAAACTTTTCTCATCTTTGTGATTTGAAGATTTTACCTTTTTCAGTATAACTAACAATAGCCCTTAGCACTCGATAATAATCATTTNTCACTTATTATTGTGCATATTTCTCAATGTGTGTACATTACCTCCTTCCTTTCTGATTACATTTCCTAATAAGATTTCTCCACATGTAGCCACAGCACAGTAGTAAGTCCCAGGATCAGAGGAGCTGATGTTCTTGGGGAAGTTATAGGTACATTTTCTTCGGGTATTTGGACTTTTCTCACAGTTATTAGCTCTTTTAGTATCAGTGTAGATGATATTTGGATAGGGTCTGTTGGATCCAGCTTTGAACCAGAACATGCTTAGATCTTCTGAACATGAATTGTTCTCTGACTCAGAGAGAACTGAACACTGCAGAGTCTCTGAGTCTTCTGGACCGGACGACTCTGAGGCTGTTGACTGCTGAACAACAGTGTAGCTGGATGTCTTCTTTGAGTTTCCTGAAATAATTAAAAGGTTATATTTCAAAACTAAGTTGTTCAATATATAAAATGTCATAGACAGATTCACAAGGAAAAGTAATATTTCATAGTTCCTCAATAGTAAAACTGTCCTCTGTGCTTAGCCTTTTCCCAAGAGAGCAGGTAGCTGCAACAGTAGGGGTGTTAACATCTTTAACACTGAAGCAGTTAAAATTATACTTGTTCCAAGTAATTCAATACTTGCATTAAATAAAATGTGCATGAAAAATCTAAATTTTTTGCATCTCTCATAGTAAGAGCATATCAACAGGAGTAAGACATTAAAAACAATGAATACATCAGAGGCACATATAATATTTTGCCATAGAGCAGGGTAAACTAGTAAAACACTTTTAATCTGTTTAAGAGCTGGTTCAGATTAAATTTACATCTTCAACTTGTGAAATCCAATTTAAATTCTGCAATATAGGTGTAATATCAGATTGTAGTTTGAAATTTCAGGAGGAATTTTGTTTCTTTAGTGATGAATGATTTCAAAGCATTGTAATACTGAGGTCTCTCATTACCTTTTACCATCAAATACGTCCCCATCCAAGTAAACTCTATCCAGTCTGTAAGAGCACAGTGATACATTCCCTCGTCTTGTTCAACTGTCTTCAGAATTGTGAGGTTAAATATTTTATCATCACTTATTGTTCTGAGTCTTGAAGAATTAAATTCTGGGGGATCAATGGGAGCCATGTTTTTTCTATGCTTTACAATTATTTTCAGATTATCTCCAGAAGTTTGCTTGTACCAGTGAATCCATGTTCTGGACTCCATATTTGCACAGGTAAGAGTTACAGGTTCACCAAGCTGAACAGTGACCACAGGAACTAAGGCATCTGGGTTAGAGATAAAATCAATGATCCAAGTTAAATGTTAATGTCAAACTTAAAATAGTTTCACACTTTAAAACAAAATGTACTTACATCCTTGATGAAGAATAAAGACTGTGATCCATAACAGAGCCATCATGACACTGACTTCATAAAGACCCTTGATGCTTCAATAACAGGAGTAGGTGTGGCGATCCAGCTCTAAAGTGCATCTAATTGGTTTCTCTTATTTTCAGAAAAAAAAAAACAGTGCCTCCTCCCACCTTGTTTATTGAAAGATCTGCTCTTTATCTTAATCTGTCAATTATCAATTAATTTAAGGATAACATTCATGTTTTCATTTGACCTGACCCAGTTCTTTGATCAAGAAACAATACTTAGCACAGATATCTTTTCTGATAGCGCCACTAACAGGTTCTTTAGTGATATTTAAAATAAACCCAGGGGACTGATTTGAACTCTACCACAAATGTTCAGGTTTCCATGCCATAAGCAGCTGCTAATGTTTGACGAATGTGTGAAGAATGTACTGGGTGGAACACAGTTCATTTTATTTCCAAAAATAACACATAAAGATTACAAGAGCTCAATTATATAGGCAGACAGGTAAGGACTCCACCCTCATTCATATAGCCATTTTCATCCAAAAGCAGCTAAGAGTGGTTATACAATGAATGCATACAAATACATAGAAGTTCTTAACAAGTTATAAGGGATACATAAAAGTGAATTAAAAATACGTTTAAATTACATTAGTTCATAAAACAAAAACATTTTAACCTGGCATGAAAAGAGCGTGGGGTGGCGGCAGTTCTACAGAATACAGGAATCTTTATTTGGATTGTTGCAGCAACAAATCTGAAGGCTGCTTCAGGGTCTTTTATGAGTCTTGAAATGGTGAGTACTGTGAGTTTGACTCTGAGGATCTTCAAGGTCTTTATGGTTTGTAGCAGTCAAGAAGTTCAGAGATGTAATGAGGGCTCTGACTAGTGAGTGCCTTGAAAAAAAAACTTATAACTGGACAGATGTGCCGGTCTGTTCTTTTTATAAGAACTAGCTACTACAGTTTTAAGAAGTTGGACCTGTCTGATTCTCAGTCTGATGAGACTTATTTTTTCAGGATCCTGCCATCTGTTGTCTAACTCTAGCAAAAACATTTAAATAATAATAAATATAATCTAGTTATCATGATTTATATCTGGATCAATGATCATCCCAAGGTTTCTAGCCATATCAGTGGTCTGCAGGTCTGCAAAAAAGACACTTTTTTGTAGGTCCTGAGGGGTTACATAAGTGATCTAAGTTTCAGAACTCTCAGTCATAACATGACATGGGGCTTACCCTTTGTTTTAATGTCAAATGACCAAGTTTGACGCTTGGCCACGCCCACATGCTTTGATGTAGAAAAAATCCTTTCATAACTTTTGATCCCCAATGCCTCAAATCATTGTACAGTGAATATGAAGTGTGTAACTCAAAAGCTGTAGGAGGAGTTTGTTCAAATATTGTCATGATCTGGCCTGCTTGCTCTCCCTTAATTGGATATTTCATTCACCTGCCGTTTTCCCTCCCTGCCTCAATTATCATTTATTCCTCTCACCTGTTTCCTCTGGAATATATTCTGTTTAGCCTGAGCATTCTGGGCCAGATCATTATTGTTTGTTTTCTGTTCATCCTGAGGTTCATGTCCTGGATCCTGGCGGCTAGTGGAAAGAGGGTTTTGTGTCTGTCTCATCTCCTGCTTGTCCACTGTTCCTCCCTTGCTGAGTCCTCTGGGTTTTTGGCTCTGTACGCGGGGAGGTTCAGTATTTATCCAGTAAGCCCGGCTCCAAGGTGGAGACCAGTTTAAAGGTCCTGCATCAAGTTCTGGTTCCACGTCCTGTCTCGGCTACCCTCTTCCAATGAGCCTCCCTGTCTGCACCTGATCCTGTCTGCTCCTGTGTGAGACCGCCTGGTCATGCTTCCGGTCCCAGTCAGACTCTGAACCCGCCTGGGAGCTCTATGATGCCTGGAAGCCTGGATCCTGCCACCTGTCTGTTCCAGCCGGTTCTGGATCCTGTTCTTTCTGTCCCAGTCTGTTCTGAATCCCTGACCAGGATCAGCTTCCTGCAAGACCTCTAGAACTGCAGCACTGGGGACACTCTTGGACTGGACTGTTAAACCAAGTGACCAAATCAGGTAATCATCTTCTGTCAGATGATCGTGGTCACTTACCTGTGTTTCTCCCACTAACAGTGTCTGTGATTGGGCGGTGCCCC